AAATATGTTGTATGTTTTTTAGGGGACTTAAGCAAACGGAGGGAAGGAACTTTGTCTCAGTTGTTCAAAGCTGACCTCTTAACCTTTTAGTTCCAGGTCCTGCGGGCAACTAAGTTGTGCGTGCGCTCAGCCCTGCACATGCCAATCACCGTGTAATTACCGCTTGGCACTGTACACATGCCACATGGTATTTGAACACTCACGTTTTCGAAAGAGAATCCGAAATGTTGTGTTCAGGGGGAACACCCCATAGTGAGCTTCTTTCCAATTGGTGGTTTGGATTGGTTTCGATTCGGATTTGAGCCCTGGTCCTTGCAGGCAAATGGGAAACCACGCCTGATTTGCCAGGCCACCAATCCAAACCAACTAGGGGGAAAGTTGAAACTGGTGGATGTTTGTCCAGGGAGCTGCCAGCTTCTGGAAATGCCAAACAGTTTTTGCAGAACGTGGGACTCAGAAAGCCCTTGATTAGGAGAGGTTTCCGGAACGTCTTGGAGGGAACACTCCATCCATTTGCCACCTTCGGCATTGCCCCTAAAACCAGCGCCTTGTTTCATTTGGGCCGTCCATGTCGCAAGAGGTGCCCCGTTTCTTGGGCCCCGACGGGTTTCAGGGTGAAGCCTGTGACATGAGAAAGGTTCTTTCTGGGTTGCCTTTGTTCATGCTGCATGCTTGCTTCTGCTTCACCCTGTCGGGCTTTGAGTTTCACAAGGCGCACTGCCATTTGGAGCAACAAAGTTGGCAGTTGGTGTCGATCTTTGGAAGGGAGTTCCTTTCCAAAAGCCAACGCATAGCCCGCAGGATTCCGGGCGACGAGACCAGCCCCTTGGAGCAGAAAGACAAGAAATTGAATCCTCGCAATCATGGTAGCGGAGCTAGCCTTGCTGTTTTCGATGATCCAGGGGGTTCGACCCAGTGTGGAAAGACATTTTTTTTATAGTGAGGCAGGTGGTTGTTGTTGGGAAACATTTTACATTTTTGCTTATTGTGGTTTAGTGGAAAATCCCCACTTAGCTGCTAACATTTAAATTGTTGCTCCCCTTTCAACGTCAACCAAGAGTTGGATGCTAGCTGGGCCTGGTTGGCCAGACTGCTTTAACCCGGTTTAGTCGCGCATCGGGTGTCCCAAGGCGCCGTGTCGGTGATGCAGAGCCAGCCGTGGCCCGAAGCGGTGAAAGTTCTCCGGGAAGTGTCGGCGATTTTGCGGCCAGGAGCGGGGAAATGCGGGGAAACTCCAAGGGTGCTTCCAGTGGGGAAATTGTTGAACCAATGTCAGGTGGGTGTAGGCCAACGCCGTAACATGTTATATCGTTCCCAACTTGGAAGCATAGTTTGTGCAAACCGTTGGGTCAACGGGAGGGGCGGTTTGGTTTGCCGCGCATCGAATGACGAGTCAAGCATCCCCGTGGATGTTGAGGCAACGCAAAGCAGTTTTGCCGCACAACGGCTGGTAAAGACGTGTGCTTTGAAATGTTGACCCGGATTACTGAACCCCTGCTTATCAATATGGGGGTGTTCCCCTCCAAAAGTGATAGATCCAACCACTAAAACCAGGGACACCCCCATATTAATACACAGGGGTTTATGAATCCGGGGTCAACGTTAGACTTGAGCCTGTCTCTTGCAAGTGCGGCACTCTCCCGCCGTCACGGCGCATGTGCCAGGGTTGGCTTTTGGCGTTGAGAATGCGACAATGCGCTTCGCGATGCTTCGCGTTGAGTGCCCGGGAAATATATGCGATGCGCGCCGCACGTACCGCTTGCACGTTGGGTTGCTTGTTGCAAGCAGCAGTTGGGTTTTAGTCCAGTTCGTACACAACGACACTTGCCATCCACGCAGAGGGCCGTGCCAGAGTTGGCGAGTTGCATTTTCACCCTGCACATTGTTTTGCAGCAATATTATACAAGAAATATGTTTTGTTGTACATGGATATGGCCAATCCATGTTCGGAGGCAGCGCTGACTTTGCGCGTCGACCCCCCCTGATCCAGCAATTCGCTCTTCGGCTGTTTTGGATGGTGCATGCCATTTGCCGAATCGAGCTGGCAGTGGCAGTTTGTTACCACGCGAAAATCTCCCACAGTATCAGATCCCTTCTAGCATACGGAGCTCCGCATTTGTGGCAAGTTTTGGCCTGTTTTACATTGGCAATGTCTATTGCGACATTAGCTTGTAAGCCTTGGCTCCGTCCTGAAAAACCTCAGGAGTCGTTAGCCTGACCTCAGCGCTCAGCACAATGAGTGCAAAAGACGGCTGGCAAGCTTGGCAGCAGGCCAGATAAATATATATATATATATATAAATATTCTACACATGCTGGCTGGCATGTGGGCTTGCCCGTGGTGACAGAACCTCGTGCAAAGATGCTGCATTTTGTGCTTGCCAAAGCAGGTGTCGAGGCCAATTAAGGCAATTAAGGCTCTTGGGAAGCTGAGCCGGAAATGCAAAGTGTTAGTGCAGCGATGCCCGACTCCCACAGGCCTCTTGCCGAGATAAGACTCATACCAAAGAACTGGGCACAGGTTCTCGTTTTCGAAACTCCCATGCTTCGGGCCCATGTCGCGTTTGTTAAACCGAGGCCCTAAAAGCAAGATGTCACGTGGCTCGCACCAACAAACCAACACGGGTGCCCCTGGAAGACAGTTCTCTTGAGCAACTGTTCTGTGAGGTTTCATGTGCAGGTGGAAAGCTATTCATGCCCAAGATCAAAGGCACGACTAGAAACGACCTGAGCCACAGTGCAAGAGCTTGTGACCTACTGCGGACAAGGCCACCCCAAGCAAACGTCAAAAGGACGCCTCCTTCATCCTACCTAAGCTGTTCCAAGTTCTTTGCATCTTGAAAGAAAGTGGTTGGCACATCTACCACTTACCCTGGGACGGAAATCTCATGTCGACACCTGATTAATCGTCCGCAAGAAGTAGTCAGACAAATCAGCCCACCCTGGAAGAGGGAAACACACTAGAAAGAAACCTTAACAACAACTGGGCGGCTTCATGAATCAGGCGTCGACATCCGGACTTTCGAAGCAAGGTTTATTCCACCTGGCTAAAAGTTGCAAACAATTCCTTCAAGTTGCAAATGACCAAGCTATGAGTCGGAATTCCGCCAACTCCCCCTTTCTATCTATTTGTATTTGGCAAAAAAAAATAATGGCCCCCCTTTTTTCACCGATCAGCGGCTTCCAGGCGCTGTCCCTGGCTTCCGGGGAAACCACCGCGGCGCTGCGCACGGCGGCCTCCGCAGCCGTGGCTTGGCGCTGGCGCCGCGGCTGGGGCCTGCTGCGAGACCTGCGGCTGCGAGACCTGCGGCCGGAGAGCTGGGGGGTGAGCCATGCAGACTAGGTCTCCCTGTGCCCTCTCTCACCTGGGGGTGCCCTTTGCCCCTTTGGTTGGGAGAGGGTTCCCCTACTAGAATAGACGAAACCGAAAAAGTTGGTGAGCCATGCGGACTTTTGACCCACGGATAAACCCGCCCCATTAGGGGGGTGTTCCCCAGCTAGGTTTCTCACAGACTTTTTTGGTTGGGAGGGTTCCCCTACGAAAATAGACTACAGAAAAAGAAAAGTTGGTCCCCTTATCTTAAGCTCTCTACTGGAGCAGAGATGGCTTGAAAATTATGGACAGAGCAGTTGGCTACCCTCCCACCAGCTAACATGGGTTTGTGCAAAAAGCCCAGCCAAGAGGAAAGTAGTCTTTCTACAGGGGTCTGTGCACTTCCATGTTAGCTGGTGGCAGGCTAATCTGTTTTTTTGGGTTGGACGCTCCAAAATGATGATTTTCCCGGTTGGTTTCCCCTTAAAGCTAACGACAGAAGGGCCCCTAAACAAAGACACACCCATTTGGTGCCTGGCGCTTTGTCCAATAATGTTGACTGATGTACAAATCCACTTCGGTTGGTGGATGGAGTGTCCCGTTCACTGAATGTTCTCCGTCCCACCTGGTATGGGAATTCATCCACAGTAGGGAACTGAAATGGACACGTGGGAACGAAACACAACCACTTGTTTACACTTCATCCACCGAAGTCCAAAAGTTATGATTCGGCCGGGAAAACAGGACGCGCAGATGCATGGAGTTGCGCTGGCTGCGAGTTCCTGGTGGCCGGTGTCCTTGGGCTACCTCGCTTGGATGAAGCAAGCCGCGGCGTTGCCGGACACCGGCTGCTACAATGTGCTGCTGAACTCGGGCTGCCGCTGGCAGCAAGTGCTGCAATTTTTACAAGAGACTTGGTGGCTCCCAGCCATCCGGTTCCTGAGCTTTTTAGCCTAGTGTTTAGTGGTAGTTTCTATTTAAACCGCTACAAGTTAGTCACTTTTAGCGGGGGATCTGAGGGCAGCCCAGGAGACACCGCAGCCGGACCAGCTGAGCTTGAATGCTGCCATGAGCGTGTGCGACTTCGACACCTCGGTGGGGCATGAGCTCTTGGCAAAGTATGGGATTTCCGCCGCGTGGTCGTCCTCGTCTCTTTGGGCAATGGCGAGGTTGACAGTGCAAGAGCCCGGGGTAATACACGATGCTCTTGCACAGGTGCCTCGCTTAGCTACCGCGAGCATGGAAGATATGCGATCACACTATTGGTCTGCCATTGAGTTTAGCCTTGAGAAGCAGCAGAGCGAAAGCGTTGTGTAAAGCCACACCCTCACAGTCAGGCGGTCAAACCTTGCGAGTCAATCCGAGGGAACGTAGTGGCGGAATGCTAAGACAAGAGCATCGAGTCATTGCAACCCTTGGCAAGTCAGCTGCCGGGCGGGGCAAAGTATGGTTTAAACACCACCTTTACAAGGGAAGAATCATCATCGGCCGCTGGTTTAAACATGTTTGAACCAACAAATCACCCCCTCAGCTTGTGGAGCTGATCGCTCTGCGAAACCTTCTGAGAGGTGGCCTCATCAGCTACATCCGCTTCGGACTTGCCGAAGCTGGCATGGGCATCCACAATGCTCGGGGTCAGCGGGGTCAATGCCTCGCTGGTCGTTCCCCTGCAAGCCTTCAGAAGCTCG